TGTAAAAACACTCTGAAAGTTTAGAAATGGGTTTTTATATTAAAAATACCAGCCAGTTACACATTTTTTTTAAAAATTACCAACAATGCATTTGATTCTCGAAAGAAACCCACTTTACAAAAAGTAGGTCAATGTTCCAAATTTAGAAACTGATACAAAGAATATATTCTATTGATACAAATCTATTCTAAAAATCTTGTCGGCATTAAGTAATTCATTGAGGTTGATATGCCATAAGACAAAATAAACCCTACTAAGTGAGAGACTACGTTTCAAGCTGAGGTTTTTATCAATGCACCAATATATTATTATTATTATTATTATTATTATTAATAATAATAATAATAATAATAATAATGATAATAATAATAATAATAGAATAAAATATTTCATTTGACTATTATAAGTTTTGTCTATTTCATCTTTCTTGTTAGCATCTTAACGTTTTGGCTGTTGTGATCTCCGCTCTTCATAAGGTGTATACCAATCTGGGTAACCTATATTTAATCTACGGTGGTAAACTGTTCTCGTTCCACTGCCCATTTCTAGGTTATCGTCCTGTTCTTGTTTTATTTAGCAGTGTTCAGTCATTGTTCGTCCATTTCTACTGAGTTCAAGTTCACAGCCTTAACCAAGGATTGAATTCACAGCCACTATATCATCAAATTCGCAAACCAACAGCTTTTACCCACTAGGACAATTGCTGGAGTAAACTTAGAGCTTTAAACCTAACCTTTCATTGCTGATTAGGGTGCCACTGCAACTGCTGCTGCTGGCTGTTATGTTCTGACTGCTGTTGCCCATGTTTTCGATTAATGCTAGACCTACAAAGAAGGTCCTCATAGCCTCGTATATGCGCTCGTTTTTTCAGACGCTTAACTCTTCAATGCTCTTCCCTGTCTAGTATTTTTACTTAATTCCCCACCGGCAGATGACCACCTCTTACCCTCCATACATGATCAACCATGCCGAATTTCATCATCCCACCACTCACTAATGCTTTGTTTACTCGTTTCCCGTGGGTGATCATGGTTCTCCACAACTACCTCTTCTTTTTCGCCCTTACTAAATTTTGTCTCCTAATCCATGTGTCGACCATTTGAAAAAATTCTGTTGTTAGGTTATGAGCTACTTTCATCTATCTATCTTTCTTTAATATTTACTATGAGTGTCAAATACAGGCTATTGTCCTTATGTTTGCTTTTTTTCATAACGTTTCAGCCGTTGTACACATCGGCCTTCCTCAGGGGTATATCGATCAGAGTAATTCTGAACTGAACACTTTATTTAATCTGCGTAGGTAGATAGTTCTCGTTCCAGTGCCCATTTCTAGGGATATGGTTTTATTTTATTTAGTACTCTTCCGTTATTGCTCGCCCTTTTACACTGAGTGCAAGTACGCACTGCCCGGCCCAACATGTCACCAAATTCACAAACCACTAGTGCAATAGAACGAGAACAGTCTACCTCACGAGATTCAATAAAGAGTTCAGTTTAGAATCCCCGGTAGGTACCTAGATCGATATACACCTGAGGAAGTCCGGAGAGCTCAACGGCCAGAACATTTTGACAACAACAATAAAGATAAGGATAATAGATCGAACATAAAAATGGATTTATTCAATAACCTTTCTCGTACTAAGCGTCCTTGTACCATACTAGGCAATCACCACAAATCTATCTAGAGATCCTGTGTGTTTCTAAGTACGCATATGCACATTTACTTAGAAAACAGAAGCATGATATACGCGTCCAACCAAGCAAGTTTAAGAGAAGCAAGCAGGAACTGGTATAAAAGGGTATTCATAAGAATCGGGTGGAAAAAGAAAGAAAAGAAAAGAAAAGAAACGATAAGAAGAAAAGGTAAGATTGAAAAGACGAGGATATCAGAGAGGAAGAGACAAAAAAAAAAGAAAAAAAGAAAAAGGAATCAAAGGTGGGAGGAAGAAGGACAGGAGAGAAGGCAGCAGGGGGAAAAAAGTTACTGCTAAAAATTTGGCAGGTCTCCAAATCGTAATCGTCCTTTGGCCGTTGTGTTTTGTTTCCCTCCCCACGCTCGGATGAAAGACAAGGTAGAATAGGCCAGGTAACAATTCGTCGTAATCGGATTTGTACTGCCACCATTTGTAGAAGAATCGTTCGTAGTAGCAAGCAGTAAAAAAAAAACGAAAAAAAAAAAAAACGACTGCAGTAGAAATTGTTGTAAGGATAATCGTAGCACAAATGTACTCGCAATTGTTATGAAACTCTACCCCAATAAATAATCGTAACAAGTTAAAATTTCTAACGCTTATTACATTTTCTTTTAACTTAAAAAAAAAAGAAAAGAAATTAAACACAAGTAGAATTTATTGCAATAGAACTGACACTGGTGAAACTGATACAAAATTATAAACGCAGCTGTTATTTTAGAAGCTTTGATGACGATAATGATAGTGGAATTTGTAGGAATTTTTTTCGCAGTAATAATAACAGCAGTCATGACTGGGTAGATTTTTTAGTAATTATACTTGTCGATTTATTATGTCTTTTTTTTTTAAGCGTTTCACCCCAAGCAAGGCGGGAAGCCACTAGGACGCAAGGGGTTACAGAAAATTTAGAGCAAGATCAGATAGGAGTGATAGAAGAAAGGATGAGAAGAGTAGCGGATAGATCAAGGCAACTGAAGATGTCGATTGACATTACACTTGAATAGCTGGAGATTATAGCTCACAGGGAAACAGAAATAGGGAAGGGAGTTCCACAGGCGAGAGGTGCGAGACATGAAGCTATTGGAGTAGAAGAGACGGCTACATTTAGGAGTTTCGACAGTGAATGGGTGAGAGCGGGATGCCAGCCTCGTATGGCGCTTGCACTCATGACGTCTGGGAACCAGCGAATGCAGCTCCTCGGAGCAATTTTCATGAAAGTATTTGTAGAACAGACAGAGGGAGGCGACGGCGCGTCTGTGAGAAAGTGACTGTAGTCGAGACGCCAGAGAAGGGCCAACTACATTGCATATCCGCCTCTGGAGCCTATCAAGAACCCCGAGACAAACAGAAGGGGCACCAGACATATATGGCAGCAATACTCCATGCAAGGGCGAATTGTTGATTTCCAGACCATATATGGCAGCAATAATTTGTGATTGGGTCAGTAGTCTTCTGTATTAAGATATGTAGTAATACCAATTCATAAGAATATAAAATATGCAGATGACACACTGTTGATAGCAGAAACAGAAAAGAAGCTACAAATACGCGTATAGAAGGTAGTTAAGAAAAACCAGAAGAAAGGACAAAATATAAATTGCTCGTTAAGAAGACAGCGTGTACCATAAATATAAAACCCTGGCGAATAATTTTACGAGAAACTCTATACCGGGTGCAATAGCAAAGTTGTCCAAATTGTTTAAAAGCAAAATTGTATGTGTTAGATTAAGCTTTGAAGCGATGTATCTTAGAAATGATTAAATATATCTTACTGGAATTCTCCGGGGTTTTTATAACGCAATTGGACTCTACTTTGAGCAGTAAGAATGTATAATTACTCTCCAAGTTTAAGAGCGGAATCGTGATGAAATCGACCATAACGAAAATCGCATGTCCACCATTAATTAATCATAGCTAAGGATCGAAAGTTAATCAAGAATTGAAATTAAGTTCAAATATGTATATATATTATTCCGGGATCATTTTCCAACTTATTCAAGATGATCTTCTCCCTCTTTAACCTTCTAACTTTCTGTCCTAGAGTGACAAGTTGCCTCACACATATTACGTAAAATTTCCTTTTCAAGCCTTCTTTCACTGCTCATTGGACTGTCATAGCCGAAACTCCCCTCTTACGTGCCAAGCGTCTTATGGATTGAATTGGATTTTTTCTAATTGATCCCTTTAGCTCTAATTTTGAATGATGATCCTTCTTTCTGTTGTGACCTCCTGATCCATTTTTCCTCCCTACTGTTACGTCAGTTTTAAATTTATTCATCGATCTCTAGATGGTTCTTGAATGGACTTTGAAGATGGAAACAAGAGTATGACTTTTGCTATCATTACTGAAGGCCTGAGTGATCGTTTTCCTCTCACCATTGCTCATTTGGAAAGAAAATATGGCTGACACAAAACAATGTTAACCTTTTCTATGTCTAGCTGAATAACTCATAGGGTTTTTCAGTGATACTTACGACAAATTGTATCAAGATGGCTAAACGTATTATCTGAATACCTGGAAAAAAAAAGAAACACAATTAGTTCGGTATGTTTTTAGATATTAAACATTTTGTGGGCTGGACAATTTTGTTGTTACCTCTCTCTCTCTCTCTCTCTCTCTATATATATATATATATATATATATATATATATATATATATATATATATATATAATGTATTCCATTCAGAGACCAAATCCTTTGAGGAATTAAGCTGCTGTATTTCATCTTTTTACCAGAGTGCTTTTTATAAATATTTTTCAGCTATAGACAGTAAATAGGTTGACGTTCTTTATCCCGTAACTTGATTGTATCGCTCCTGTACGCAAACTTTGTCAAGTGGGCATAAATCTAAAAGCTAACAAGAAGCATTGCTGGAGACGCAGATAGTCAGCATATATATATATATATATATATATATATATATATATATATATATATATATATATATATATTCACATTCTTACATTACCTTGCAGAAGCTGTAACACTTTTGGCCAGGTAGGATATTAATTTCGCTTTAGCAGCGGGAACCTTTCCCCCAGAACGAAGCCTCTCTCAAACTTAAATTGTGAAGTATAGTAAGCATTCCCTGATGTCTGTGACAAATTAGAAGTCCGTTTGTAGAATTTTGAATCATGTAAATTTGAAAAAAAAATGTTATACACAAGATATATAAAAGTATCTACAGACTTTATAATATTTCATTATTTGGAAAACAAGTCTTTATATACGAACCTAGACTAGCTCTTGAGCCTTGTATAGGGAGAGAGATATCATTGTAAAAATATTGAATATGACGGATAAAGAATGTTTAAAGATTTCACGTTCCATTCCCCCACCCACCTCCGTTCTTACGATTTGTTGTTTTATTCTTTAAGAACTCAGATGAATCGTCTGGTCCCCCCCCACCCCAGAACTATCGACCTATTAATCATCTACCCCTTTTATGCTAAACTACTCTAAATTAGTTAAGCGTCTCACCTCGCAGGGCCTTCTTTCAGACAAGCAATATGGCTATTGTTTCTCTGTTGATGTACTCCAATTATTGCTGAAAGAATCTATCAAGCTTTAGAGAAGACTGATGAAATTCGGCCTGTTGCTTTTGACATCTCGAAACCATTTCACAAGGTTTAGCATACCGGTCTTCTCCACAAGTTGAAAGGCTATGGTGTTTCCGGATGAATCTTTGAACTGATTCAATCTTTCTTGTCTAATCACGAAATGAATGTTGGCCTGAATGGCCACTCTTCTCGATCTTTTTGTAGTCATTCAGGTGTCATCCAGGGTTTTATCCTCGGAACTACTTTGTTCTTAATTTTCATCAGCGACCTTCCTGATGACATCAGTTCTCAACTTTGTATCTATGTTGATAACACAACTATTTAACCCTATCCCGATAATAAGTTTGACCAGTTCGCTAAGTTGAAATTGGCAGGTGATCTGAAAATGACGTACAGTTTGCTGTTAACTTCATCAAGAAGTAGCTTATTAATTTGTACGCCTTCTAAAGGAAACTGCATTCTATTAATTACCTGAAAGACACCTTCCGGCTTATAATCAGCATGGCTGATGCTAACCTCAATGTGAGTGACTCCCTACGCCTTCTCGGTATAATTCCCGGTTAATATGAAGTAGGAAGATAATACTAAATCTTTTACTGGTTCTTCTGCTAAGGAAGTCGTTTCATTAAGTTGTAGCAGTTTTTCTTCTTTTCTTCTTGCATAAGTGTATCATTCGATTATGCTTTAATGATCTTTTTCTCAACAACATATTTTTCTGTGGAGGAAGACTTTTCTAAACTACAATTTTTTTTAACCAACTACCCAATGAATTTAACTCAACGTAAGATTATTTTACTCATTTGTGAATTGATGCACATATGTTTGTAAATAGAAATGATTTAGTTAACAGGCATACCAACGTTTCTTTTATTTTTATTTTATTATTATTATTTGGAATTGTTGCTGAAAGAGTCTATTAAGCTTTAAATAAGATTGTTGAAGCCCGGGCTGATACTTTATCATCTCGAAAGCGTTTGACAGAGTTTGGCATACCAGTCTTCTTCCCAAGTTTTAAGGCTATGGAGTTTCCGGATAAATCTTTGTTTAGTATTGTATTCTAGCGTTTCTAGCCTTATCAAATATTAGACAGTTTAATGAAGCTAATATCAAAATGAATTAAATGTATTTATTTTACAAAATTCCACACACGGATTGATAAGTAAGTCCCCAATCACATAAAACAGGATTTATACGACAGGGTGGTCCGAAAGTCTTGTCGTCCCCTACCAAAATGTAATGAAAACAATAGAAAAGCAAATAATACAGTAATACAATGCACATGGACTGGATTCAGTTCATTCACTTTCACTGACGCTGTCACACTGTGGGAACTCGTGCCACAACTGTAGGAGCTCGTGTCAACCATCTGAAATAGAAAATTATATTACCTAGGTATGACAACACTTTCGGACCACCCTGGAGATCGAATGATGAAGTTTGCAACAAAATGAACTCAATCTATTTCTTTAAAAATTATGACGCTTGATTAATAAATGTCGTGTCCAATCCTAGAAAACGACTTTTCAACCAAAGAGAAGAAAGAAACTGGTATCAAAAGTAAATATATTTCAATTCGAAATTCAAAGGGTTGATATAAATAAATTTCAAATATAAATATATTTGCAAGCTTTGTACGTAGCTGAATTCAATGACTTTCTAAGTACGTCAAAAACGAGCTGTTCAGAGCAAAAAGCAATACACACATAATAGGGAGAATGTAATAAACAAATAAATACATGTATAAAATAAATATCAAGGGAGATTTCTTGGTATTTAACAAATCTTGTATGAATAAAAAGAGCTGCTGCCAAATAGACTCTCGCTATCTCTCTCTCCCTCTCTCTCTCCCCCTCTCTCTCTCTCTCTATATATATATATATATATATATATATATATATATATAGAGAGAGAGAGAGAGAGAGAGGTGAGGCTACCATTTATAAATTTATGTCTTGATAACTATAGTAGGTTGTTGAAGAAAGAAAAAAGCCATCTAAGAAAAATATGTGTGAAAAAGATTTTATATGAACAGACTTAAAATAGATAGAGAGATAGTGAACTCACTTTCTCATCTGAATAAGTCTTTGCGTATCTATATTTCTACCTATCTCTGTCCATATCTATCTATCTATCTATCTATCTATCTATCTACCGTGGATATATATCTATAATCTGACTGGTTCTATCTATCTATCTATCTATCTATCTATCTATCTATCTATCTATCTATCTATCTATCTAATTCT